GCTGGCTGGCTGGCTGGCTTGGGGACTAGGGGCCAGTCTGGGGGGGTTTCTGGCTTGGGGTTGGAGGTTATAAACGCAACAGAACTGTATTTGCATTGTCTCTTGGAGTTCTTTGGGCTGAACCTGACAGTGTGCTCTCTTCACTGGAGGTCTTCAGAGACTTGATAGTCATCTATCCATAATGCTTTCACAGATCCTGTATTGAGAAAGAGGTTGGACTCTGCAACCTTTGAAGTCCCTTCCAATTTTATGATTCTGTGATATATTATTCCCTTGTCTTTAGTTATAGGATGAAAGCGATCAGATCTTGCTGTCTTTGTGTGACAGACCTTTGGGTGTTTGAAAAGGGCTATCTTAGCCTTATCTTAGTTAGCTTTACTGAAGGCTAAGCACACCCAGCTCTCCTTTTCTCTCTCCTTGTAGTACTGGCAAGATTATTAGCACAATTCTTTAGTATCTTGGAATGCAATCCATCTAGCCCTGCTTGAGCTTTAAACTCATAGGAAAGTCAGTTCCCTGACCAAGTTTCCCCATCAAGCCTAAATCCTGCCCCTTCCTCCTGCTCTTGGTAACTCCTTGGTGGAACCCATTTCCTCTTTTCAGAGAAAGCAGAGCTAGATCAGTTGTGGAGGAGTTCTGCCTTTTCTTTTAGCAGCAGGGTTAGGGTTCGGGTTCCTTCCTTTTATTTTGGTTTTACCTGAAGAAACTCTTTCGTCTCTAGTTAGTATCCTTTCCCCAACTCAGCTCATTCCAAGCTTTGCAGTACTGGGCTAGGCATACCCGCTTTCCTTCTTAAGATGTTCTCTTTTGTGCAGCCCAGACCTTCTGCTGACTTTCGTTTTTCCCTCACCAGGGTAGTTTGCAATTGAAGCATTATGAACCCTCCCCGTTGTGAGTTCCTTTTCCTGATAGTTCTCTTGCTTTGGAGCCCAACTTTCCGTACCTCGGAGTATTTAAATTCTGCTTTCTTGAAGTCTGAGGAATGCGCTTGCTGTGTATGTGCAATTGACCATGTCCCCATAACATTGGGGGGATTCTGAGTGATTTGGGTAGGTGAACCAATCAATTGTTCATCTCAGCTGCTGCTCCAGAGGAAATACAGGGAGAACTTTACAGTCTTAGGTAGAGTTCCTAAGCGGGAACACCCACCTCTTTAGATTCCCTGTCCTCACCCTGCTAGTCACACCAAGGGCAGTTGAGATTTTAATAGTTTTTCTTGCAATGAAAAGAAAAGATGAGGAGGGAGGATGTGGGAGTCCAGCTGGATTCTGACTTCTGTGCCTTCTGCCGGCTTGATGGAGATAGTGCCAGCTGGCAGCTTGGGGGCTCAGCAGTGGAATGTTACCTGTTGCCATGAAACTGATACAGAGAATAAGAAGGGCAACATCTGTGGTTGTGTAGATAGGGCCTTTGTTTCCCTTAATATCAAGAATTATAACATTACATGATCACTTGCTCCAAAGTTCCCACAGTGTCTGCTGAGTCCACCCCACTGCTGTAACAGGTCAAGGGTAGCTGATCCCCTTGTGCTTACTTTTGCCCTCAGGAGGAGAAAGT